GTCAAAAAGGAAGCTAAGATCACTACTACCAATGAAGGTGAAAGACCAGATGCCTGTTGAAGATGCACCGGGTGTGATGTACCAGATCAAATACCTCATTTGCAACCTACGATGGAACGACATCACTTGCCATTGCGGGTCAGAACTGCTGAGCACAAACGAGCGGTCGCTAGTAAAGAAACATTGCGAAAGTTGAAAATAATTTCTGGACCAGCCCGTCATTATATTACGACGGAACCAACATCGACTTCAGGGAAGAAAACCCTTTGCCATGGCGTCGAACATCGTAGAACGCATCCTCGTAGAAGCCTGTGATTCTGATCACGGAAAATGTTACAAATGGGCTAGAAATATTACAAAAATGGATTTGTCTACAGAAAAGACTGGCAAGATAAAAATCTCTTCGAACCGATGTACGGTAACAGGGAGCAATTTCGTTTATACATGTAGAAAATGATGAGCCTAAAAGGGTACATGGCTCAAACAGAAATTATGCGCCTAATAGTTACATATAATCTGACTGCTGACCTCTACTTAAATAAAAGTGAAGGAATCGGAGAGTTTCGTTTCCTGACTAATGAAAGCTGTAAATGCCTATCGAAATTTGGTCCAACCACACAGGAATCTGCGGTGTTAATATTTCAAATACAATTTTTACATAGGAGTATAGCTACTACAAAATGAAGAATGTTCATCAGTTTGGAAATAATAATTGCCAAGTGCAGCATATCGCTCGTAACTCATCTGCAGCCTGTTAGTAGATTTCAGCCGAAAACTTCCTGACTGAATATCTTTCCTTGTTGTGTCTAGCCATGTTACCTGATGACGGATCCAAGTTTATCCTTCGATACTGGTGTCCAGAAAAATCTTCACCGGCGTTTAGCCGTACTTTCGCTGACAGAAGTCCTACTACATCAGGTGCATAATGTTAACAGTTTGCATGAAATTATTGACTTCAGTAGCAATGAATATATCGCATACATCATATAACTGTTTGAACCAGAAAGAGGCCCTTGCACGAAAATCGTTGAGGCTAAAACTGATGCTGTAAGACGGAACACCATGTAAAACACAATATACTTGTAAATGTCTATTATACTTATTCACTATATATACTGTAATTGCTTCGCTAACTGAAACGACTAGTTAAACAATGACAGCTAGTGTGCTAAGGAGCATAGCTACGGGAACAAAAACTCTAGCAATGCGTAACCACGTTTAAATTTTCAAGCTGATTATAGATTCCTAACGAAAAGGTCCATGCACACACCGTAAAAACCAAAGCCGAACAACGTACGTGTCATGGCACGCCGTTGGCAGGTACTTACTGTTTCGAGAAACACGTATTAACAAGTGCTTAGCAGCCAAATGATAGCTTCCGCGTTGTTGTGCGATTATCTTAACAAAGCGTAGAGGTAGGCGACGTTTATTAACGAAGCTTGGAGCGAAAACAATCAGCATAGAAATAATAGAAATAATACACGAATCGATGCTACTGTATGGAAGAAGTATGGTCATTTACTTACCAAAACGTGCGTAACTTTAACCGAAACCGGCGTTCCGTGCAAAAAGGCTTCGGTTCCATCCTTAACAGGGGTGAGACGCAGCCATCGCGGCAAATCTGGATGACCCATCTCGGAGACGCTCAGCCATACAGGGGCTGAAAATCGAAACGTTTTAAAATATGAAAAGTTGGTGCAAATAAAAAAATAAAGCAACGTTACTGTTATAAGAAAAATAATCCGATGACCGTATGTGATAAGTCATCATTCTTCCGGCACTGACGTTCAGTTGGATACTGTCTACCTGTCTGACGTTTTCGATCGGCGTTACGAGGGCCGTTGAAGAGGAAATGGAGGAGGAAAAATAGGATGAAAACACAAACACAAGCCAAAGTCGCATACAGAATATGTTCACTAAAAAATATTACTTATATTATTTGCTAACAGAAACAAAGAAGTACCATAGCATATAACATTTTTGCATTCACAACAAAAATTACTTATTACTTAATCGATATACATCAATTCTACACACTCATCTCGAATTATTATTTAATATTAACGTAATCCGTCCAACAAATCTATAAACACGAACATATTTATTAAAGAATTTCCACAAATCCCTGTAGTCATACTGATGATTTGCCATGGGTGGCAGTAAAACGAAGAAAGCCAACTTCGCCATGAGCAACTGACCCAGGAAGTCACTGAGCATTTAATCAACAGCATAATTAACTATGTCCATCATAAATTTTATAACGTTATGCATAAAACAACGTAACGTCAAGGAAACTTTAAATTTAAAATAAATAAGAGCTGAACTGTTGTAAAATAATAACTCCAAAACGCAACAGCTCAAAACGTGAAAGGCCATTTT